CAGCCAGGACTCGAACTGGCGCCCGTATGGGATGCTGGTGCTATAGGCAGAGGATTAACCTGCTACGCCATAGTGTTGGCCCTGGGTCTATAGTGTGTTTTTTTTTCTTTTTCTTTTTTTTTTTTTAAGATTTATTTTATTTATTTGAAAGAGTTACAGAGAAAGCTAGAGACAGAGAGAGAGGTCTTCCATCCACTGGTTTACTCCCAAGATGGCTGCAATGTCTGGAGCTGCACCAGTCTGAAGCCAGGAGCCAGGAGCTTCTTCTGGGTCTCCCACATGGGTGCAGGGGTCCAAGGACTTGGGCCATCTTCCACTGCTTTCCCGGGCCATAGCAGAGAGCTGGATCGGAAGAGGAGCAGCCGGGACTAGAACTGGCACCTATATTGGATGCTGGCGCTTCAGGCCATGGCTTTAACCCACTGCACCACAGTGCCAGGCCCTGTGTATAGCTTTTAATAGGAGAATTTATTCCATTTACATTCAAGGATTTATTGCTGATAAGCATGACTTAGTCTTGTCATTAAAAAAATTTGTTCTGTTTATTTTGAATGTTCTTTTTTCTAATGGGTTTTATACTTTCATATGTGTTCATAATGATAATTATCTATTTAAATTTTATTTAAGGTATACAAATTCCATGTGTTTCCTATATGCAGATTCAGGAACATAGTGATACTTCCCACTCTACCCTCCTACCCTTTCTTTTGCTTCTGTATATAGGACTCCCCTAAGTATCTTTAGTAAAACCAGTGTGGTGGCGATGAATACCTTCAGTTTTTCTTGTTTTGGAAAATATTTCTCCTTCATTTATGAAGGTTAGCTTTGCTGGGTATAGTAGTCTTGGTAGGCAGTTTATTTCTTTCCATACTTAGAGTATATTATTCTATTCTCTCTTGGCCTATAAAGTTTCTGCTGATAAATTGATTATCCTAAGTGTTTTATGTTTTTCTCTTACAGATCATAGAATTATTTGTGTTGTACTTTTTTTTTTCTTTTGACAGGCAGAGTGGACAGTGAGAGAGAGAGACAGAGAGAAAGGTCTTCCTTTGCCATTGGTTCACCCTCCAATGGCCGCCGTGGTCGGCGCGCTGCGACCGGCGCACCGTGCTGATCCGATGGCAGGAGCCAGGTACTTATCCTGGTCTCCCATGGGGTGCAGGGCCCAAGCACTTGGGCCATCCTCCACTGCACTCCTGGGCCACAGCAGAGAGCTGGCCTGGAAGAGGGGCAACCGGGACAGAATCCGTCACCCCGACCGGGACTAGAACCCAGTGTGCCAGCGCCGCAAGGCGGAGGATTAGCCTAGTGAGCCGCGGCGCCGGCTTGTGCTGTACTTTTGAGATTTGACCTGAATGTGTTGCAATGAGTGTCATTTCTTGTCATATCTATCTGGTATCCCTTGGGCCTCCTATACTAGGATGTCCAAATCTTTCTCAGGACTGGGGAAGATTTCAGTTACTATTTTATTAGATAGGTTTTCTATGCCTTTACTCTTCTCTTTGGCTACTTTCCAGGATGTATTAGCAGCAAGCTGGACTGGAAGCAGAGTGGCCAGGACTTGAACTGACACTCTGACATGGGGTGTGGACATCCCAAGAAGTGTGTTAATTAGCTGTGCCACAATGCTGGCCCTGTGTCTTCAGTATTTTTTTTTAATCTTTCTTTTCTTTTCTTTCCCTTTTCCCTTTCCCCTCTCCTTTTCCCCCTCCCCTCCCCTCCCTTTTCTAACCCTCAAGCAGATAAGTTACTCCCTCTGTATTATGCCACCTGGGGTTGGGCGAGGAATGGACTGAGCAGTGCTATGGGCACCTGTACCACAATGCTAGGTAACACCTGGAGTCTACAGCCCATCAATACCAGCACAGCATAGGATAGGGCCAAAGTCCACCTTGCTATGGCTGCTTGCTGCTGAGGTAGACATGTGACCTAAGCCTGCTGCAACCAACCACAGGTGATACTGGCTGGGATATAAGATCAACTGAGAGGATTTGCCCAGGCTGACAATAGACCACATTGCACCTAAGTGTCAGCATCACTGGGCCCTGTGCATTCTCAGGGTGTAATCCAGGCCTATGCAGTGCTAGTGATGACAGACCAAAAAAAGTCTATCCCACAAGAATATAGATCTCCTGATGCCAGGATACATCTAGAAGCTCTGTTAGCATTGGCCTAGGGATGGAGGCTTTTGAGCTTTCTTTGGTTCTTACTGCAGCAGGTCTGGCAATGAGCTTCAAGGGAAAGTCCTAAGCTCACTTTCCTGCCCTAATTCCTGTTGACTGAAGCCTTGCTCTACTGTCTGTTGGAGGTTGGGGGAGGGGAGGTGAAGGCAGCTCCCTTGGCCTCCTGGCTAAGGAAGGTCCAAAGACTCAGTCCACAGGTATTGGCCTGTGAAGCAGGTTTGGTACTGGGCTTCAGTTCTAAAGTCTAGACTTAATTCCCTCTGCCTCTCCCAAACAGGAAGTCCTTCTCCACTCTATGCTACTTGAAGGAGTTGGAGGGATGATCCAGCAGCTCTCCTTCCTGCTTTCTTGAATGCATCTTTTCTTCTTATCGTGCTAAAACCAGGCACTGCGGTCTCTAACCTGACCTCCTTAGCTCTTGTGAAGGTGACTTTGTGCGTGAATAGCTGCTCAAATTGATGTTTCTGTAAGGAAACAATTACCAGATCATCTTACTCAGCTGCCTATCTTTTTTTTTTAATTAATTAATTAATTAATTATTTTTTTATTTATTTTTTGACAGGCAGAGTGGACAGTGAGAGAGAGACAGAGAGAAAGGTCTTCCTTTGCCATTGGTTCACCCTCCAATGGCCGCCGTGGCCAGCGCGCTGCGGCCAGCGCACCGCGCTGATCCGAAGCCAGGAGCCAGGTGCTTCTCCTGGTCTCCCATGGGGTGCAGGGCCCAAGCACTTGGGCCATCCTCCACTGCACTCCCTGGCCACAGCAGAGAGCTGGCCTGGAAGAGGGGCAACCGGGACAGAATCTGGCACCCTGATGGGGACTAGAACCCGGTGTGCCGGCACCGCAAGGCGGAGGATTAGCCTAGTGAGCCGCGGCGCCGGCTCAGCTGCCTATCTTTTAAGAATTCATACAGGCCGGCGCCGCGGCGCAGTAGGCTAATCCTCCGCCTCGGGGTGCCGGCACACCGGGTTCTAGTCCCCATCAGGGTGCCAGATTCTGTCCCAGTTGCCCCTCTTCCAGGCCAGCTCTCTGCTGTGGCCAGGGAGTGCAGTAGAGGATGGCCCAAGTCCTTGGGCCCTGCACCCCATGGGAGACCAGGAGAAGCACCTGGCTCCTGAATTCGGATAGGCGCGGTGCGCCAGCCACAGCGCGCTGGGCACGGCGGCCATTGGAGGGTGAACCCACGGTAAAGGAAGACCTTTCTCTCTCTCTCTCTCACGGTCCACTCTGCCTGTCAAAAAAAAAAAAAAAAAAAAAGAATTCATACAGTAAAACATAATTTCAGCTGGGATCGCAAAGTATCACATTTCAGCCTGCCATTCATTGCCTCAAGTATTTTCTGTGAGGCAATATCCCATTTTCCATAGACTGTCATTAAGTTCCATTAAGAGAAGAGGGAAATCTGAAATCGTATCAAGAGTAAATAGTTACTTCAGCGCCTGTGGTGTGCAAGACAGAGCACATGATAGGTGCTTGAAAATTTTAGAGTTCATAAATGTAACTCATTACATTCAGTGTGACCAAACATCATAGCCTGACTTGTTACTCAGTCTTCTTAGACTTGCAGCAAAAATTGAACAGGGGACTGAGGAGAACAAATCTGGCTGTGAGATTTCTTAATTTTTCTTCATACATTTCTCTTTCTTAGTTTACTTTTTTTAATTTAAAGGTAAGACATGCTTTCTGTTTTCTTCTTATTTTCCTGAAGAAAGTACAAGATAATCACATACAAAATCTTTTAATGTCACAATTAGTGATTGATATACACTGTAAGATGTAGCAATCTATTCTTTCAAGTTTTTTTTTTTTGCTGTTATTTATTATTAAAAAACTGGGATCATTTTTCACTTGGTAAAGTATAGTAAGCATATATTTTTTAATGATTATGTAATAGTTCAGCACATAAATGAATAAAATATATTTGCCCAGTCTCCTAGTTTGTTTTTGTTTGTTTGTTTGTTTGTTTTTGACAGGCAGAGTGGACAGTGAGAGAGACAGAGAGAAAAGTCTTCCTTTTGCCGTTGGTTCACCCTCCAATGGCCGCCGCAGCCGGCGCGCTGCGGCCGGTGTGCTGCGGCCGGTGCACTGCGCTGATCCGAATTCAGGAGCCAGGTGCTTCTCCTGGTCTCCCATGTGGTGCAGGGCCCAAGCACTTGGGCCATCCTCCACTGCACTCCTGGGCCACAGCAGAAAGCTGGCCTGGAAGAGGGGCAACCGGGACAGAATCCGGCACCCTGACCAGGAGTAGAACCCGGTGTGCCGGCGCCACAGGCAGAGGATTAGCCTATTGAGCCGCGGCACCGGCCAGTCTCCTAGTTTTGTATGTGTAGATTGTTTCTATTTTTGTTTGATTTACCATGTATGTAATTCTTCAGTAATTACTTTTGTGAATAAATTTTTGAGTGCCTCCCTGATAGTTCCTTTAGAGTGATCCTGAAATGTACATGTTATATGTCAAGCAGCATGGCTATTTTGAAGTCTTTCATAAGAGACATCTCAATGATACATGACAGTGCACATTTTATTGTGCCTTCACCAAAACAGAGTTTTGTGCACTTGCAAGCCTGTTATGATTTTACTTTAAAAATATAGTTATGATCCTCATTAAAATAGAAATAGACTTCTTTGTAACTATTAGTAGGTTGTGTAAGCAGATTAATAGAAGTATATCTCTATAAATAAATGATTAGCATCAGAACATTGGATCTTGATAACTTTAATAGTCATTGTATACCATTTCCCAGGTATGTTTAACTGTATATTTTTATAACTATTAATATTTCACATGTTGCATTCAAATGAAATTTTTTCTTACAGTATAGTAAACCAGGGAAAAAATGGAAGGTTATGACTCAGGAATTTATTAATCAACACACAGTGGAACACAAAGGAAAACAAATCTGTAAATACTTCCTGGAAGGGAGATGTATTAAGGTAAATCTATGGAGATGCCATAAATCATTTCTGCTTCTAAAATGATTTTTAAAATTTAAAAGTCTTTCTTGGCGGTGATTATCTTATTTTACTTTATTATTGGGTAATTGTAATAAAACTGATTAGTTAAAATTTATCTTGCATGGAAATACTGTACATGAGTGTTCATTTAATTGTATTCTGGGACAATAGCATAATTTGTTAAAATCAGGTTTTATTTAACAAGCACATAATTCTGACTGTGTAGCAAGTACTGTTCAAAGTACAACTAACTGTAAATGATTCATTCCTTACAGTGACACTACAAAGTACTTGCTGTTACTGTCCCCATTTTACACATGGCAACAAGAAGTTAAATAAGTCCCCAGGGTAGCTCATCTAGAAATGGTGCATGCCCTGGAATGCTCCCAGTATCCTCTGAGGCCTTGCTCACTAGCTGGCCTGCTGCAAATGGCCATGTCCACTGTCTTGGACAAGAATTCTAAGGGGTTGTTTCAGTTATTATTATCTCATTATTTAAAGACTGAAGATAATGACTGCTATTCTACCAAGAAACACCATGGAGAAAATGCAATTCAGTAATTCAATTCTTTCTTTCTTTCTTTTGAACAGGGAGATCAATGTAAATTTGATCATGATGCAGAGTTGGAGAAGAGAAAAGAGATCTGCAAATTTTATTTACAAGGATATTGTACCAAAGGAGAGAACTGCATTTATATGCATAATATCCTTTATTATAATATATACTGACCAAAATGCTAAAATACTAAGGTTTTTAAAGTATTATTGAAGTTTTTAAAAATCATAAATATAACCTAGAATGCCTAGTTTGATTTTAAATTTAAAACAACACATTGCATAAACCCCATCTAGTCAAATCTTATATTTCAAAAGGACAAACTAACTTTTCATTTTTCAGGGAAATGAAATATCTTCCCTTTGGAAGGCAGTTCTATGAAGTGAAGGTACTTTATATATCTTTTAAATGTATTTATTTGAGAGAGTTACACAGAGAGAGAGGAGAGGCAGAGAGAGAGAGAGAGAGAGAGAGTTGAGTCAGTCTTCCATCCGCCGGTTCACTCCCCAGTTGGCCACAATGGCTGGAACTGCGCCAGTCCAAAGCCAGGAGCCAGGAACTTCTTCCAGGTCTCCCACGTGGGTGCAGGGGCCCAGGGACCTTGGCCATCTTCTACAGCTTTCCCAGGTTATAGCAGAGAACTGGATTGGAAATGGAGCAGCTGGGACTCAAACCAGTACCCATATGGGATGCCTGCACTGCAGGCAGCAGCTTTACCCACTATGCCACAGCACTAGCCCCGTACTTTATATTTTATATAATCAGTTTAAATCATATCAAGAGAATGTGCTTCCTGAAGGAGTAGTTAGCAAAATATTCATTTTCTTATGTAATTTTTTCTTTAATAAATTATCAATGTTGAAAATTATAAACATGAGGTCTCATCAGTTTTTACCACCCAGTGATAAACACTGTATGTAATTCCATACTTTTCTCTTTGGAAATGATACATTTAAATTGGACTGCTGCATCTACCCAAAATGGGATTCCACTATATATGGTACTCTGATCCTTTGAAAAAATAGTTATTATGCATCTTTCCACTAATTTTCCCCCAAATATCTAGTTGCTTCTCTACTACCATTTATAGCTATGGGAGCTTTCCCCATGGATTTGAAACCCCATTTTTTATCAGAGACAGAATATTTATACATACATTTTTTCCTGAACTTTCTATTTGGCTGTGTAGATTTGGTTGCCCTCATGTTTGTGCTGCTTTGCAGTGACTGTTGCTGCCTCAACAGCATACTGTGACATTTGCTAGATTCTCACATTTATTTTTCCAGATAATTTTTTAATTAATGTAAACAAAAGGAAAGTGAATAAAATGGATAGAGAAAAATTTCTGTTGTCTTAGATTCAAATGTGGAAAATGAAACCATGTACTTACTAGAGGAATACATGAGTGAAGTCCTTTATAACTCAGAACAGAGAACTTTCCTAACTATGTCTTAAGATCCAGAAGCAATGATGGAAAGCATTGAAAATTGGACTGAATAAAAAAGTTTAAATTTGTATAACAAAAAGATACAACAGAGTAAGTAAAAAGATAAGTAATAAAGTGGGCAAATTATATGTAATTTATATCATAAAAAGGTAATACCCTTAATATGTGAGTTTCTAAAAATTTAGAAAAATTTAGAAAAAATTTAGAAAAATTGAGCAAGAGATACAGGTAATTCACAGAAAGAGGAATGCAAATAATCTCAGAACATAGGAAAAGATGCTCAAGCTTATTGATAATAAGAGGAACATAATCTAAGCTACATTGAAATGACACAGATTTATAAGAATCAAGTAAATGTAACAGCAAAATTTGGTACAAAAAAATGTAAGAAAATACCTTGTTGTGTGGATGTCAAAATGATGCATCTTCATGGAGGAGAGCTTGTCAGTGTCTGGCAAAATTACACATGCATTCACCTTTTGATCTAACAATCCTATCATTTTGCAAATTCTAATAATAGATCCGAGTAGTGGTTACTGATAGTCACTAAAATCATTAGCTGAACGGTTAATGAGGAAGTTTATAATTGAGGGATGGGGCTGACATGTTTAGTATACAGTATGGTACTGCTGACTACAGGCACAATGTTGTACAGTAGCTCTCCAGGAGCTAATCATGCATAGCAGTTACATTGGTTGGTTTTCAAAAATTAGGTCTTGACTTTACTTGGTCTGTTCCTTAATATTTTTATTTACATGAATTTCCATGTAAGTTCTATCATACAGGAGCAAAATGTTACCAAGGAGATAAATGTAAATTTTCCCATGATGATCTGACTAAAGAAACAAAGAAACTTTTGGACAAAGTGAGTATATACTTCAAACAATATCTCTAACTTGTTTGAACATCATCAGTCTGTATCTAAAATGAGGAGTTAACTGTCTCTGATCTATTTTAACTTTAATATTATATTTTCTTTTACTAAAGCCTTTACAGTTTTAAAAGTGAGGAAGAGAGGTTGTTTTGAAATAATAATCTTAACTAATTATTTTAGGTATTGAATACTGAGGAAGAACTTATAAATGAAGATGAAAGAGAATTAGAAGAACTTAGAAAACGTGGCATAACTCCTCTTCCCAAGCCGCCTCCAGGAGTTGGACTTCTGCCAACCCCACCAGAGCATTTTCCCTTTTCTGATCCTGAAGATGATTTTCAGACGGATATTCCAGATGACTTCAAGAAAATCCCTTCTCTTTTTGAAATAGTTGTAAAACCTACTGTGGATTTAGCACATAAAATTGGGAAGAAGTAAGTTAAAATTTTCAAAGTGGTAGCACATTTTTTCCCTAAAAATTTGTCCCATTGTTAGTTCGGGGAAGCAATGTGGTCTCAGCAAATGAGAAACAAGAAATCTAAAGCAGATATCACAGTTAATTGGAGCCATTAAAAGTATTTCTGTTAGGGGCTGGCACTGTGGTACAGTGGGTTAAAGCCCCAGCCTGCAGTGCTAGCATCCCACATGGGCATCACTTCTGATCCAGTTCTCTGCTATGGCCTGAGGAAGCAGTAGAAGATGGCCCAAGTCCTTGGGCCCCTGCAGCCACATGGGAGACCTGGAAGAAGCTCCTGGCTCCTGGCTTCAGATTAGCTCAGCTCTGGCCGTTGTGGTCATCTGGGGAGTGACCTAGGGGATAAGAGACCTCCCCCCACCCCCACCTCTCTCTGACTCTTTCTCTCTCTGTAAATCTTCCACATAAAAATAAAATAAATTGAAAAAAATTTCTGTTAAAGTCAAGAGAACAAGTGTGTCCAATTTTGCTGATATAAGATCCCAACCAATAAGATAAAAGAAAGAAAAGGCATAAAAACTAGAAGTGAAGAGCAGACTCATTATTTGTGTATTTTTCCTCATTATATCCTGCACTTGATCTTAGCCAGAAGGCCGAGTAGTGATCCTGACTATATCATGAAAAATCAGCTGATAGAAGTATTAGAAATAAGAATTATTTTGCTTCTTGGCCTTTTGACTAAGATTGAGTTTAGAAATAATAATTAATTAGTAAAATGTCCAGGAAGATAAGCAACATTTAAAAAGCAGAAGTTATTTTGTACATCAGATATATAACCAATTATGAAAGTATAATAAAAAGTTGTTTGTTTATATAGTATGACTCCAATTTTGTTGTGAAAAACAGTGTAGGCCAGCACCACGGCTCAATAGGCTAATCCTCCGCCTGTGGCGCCGGCACACCAGGTTCTACTCCCGGTCGGGGCACCGGATTCTGTCCCGGTTGCCCCTCTTCCAGGCCAGCTCTCTGCTGTGGCCAGGGAGTGCAGTGGAGGATGGCCCAAGTCCTTGGGTCCTGCACCCACATGGGAGACCAGGAGAAGCACCTGGCTCCTGGCTTCGGATCAGCGCGGTGCACCGGCCGCAGTGCGCCGGCTGCAGCAGTCATTGGAGGGTGAACCAATGGCAAAAAGGAAGATCTTTCTCTCTGTCTCTCTCTCTCTCACTGTCCACTCTGTGTGTCAAAAATAAATAAATAAATAAAATTAAAAAAAAAAAAACAGTGTACATATGCCTAGAAAAAGGACTGAGAACCAATGAAAAAATTTGGAGGCAGTGGGATTAGAGGTGGTTCTTTTTTATCTTCATACTTTTCTGTATTTTTAAAAATACTTATCTATAGTAAGTTCTAGACTAGCTGATGGTAAGTAGCAATTAAGAAAATTCTAGCATGCCATGAAAGCAAGGCGTTTATGATATTTCCACCTGTGCTATACAAGATATGGAATAAATGGCATCTTTGAATACATAGTATTCTGATATAGAAAAACATAACCAATTTATTTTCAGAATTGTAACATTCTCATTTATCTCTTTTCTTTCAACTATTAACTGTTTTTCTTTCTACATGCAGGCCACCAGCATTTTATAACAGTGCCTCACCACCGGGACCACAATTTCAGGGAAGCAGCCCACACCCTCAGCACATCTATAATTCTGGGTCAAGTCCAGGTCCAGGACCTAATGTGTCTCAGGGATGCGGTAGTCCTGTGATACACCCAGGCTCTCCTGGGCATCACCCATGTGCAGGTCCTCCTGGCCTAGCAATGCGACACAGCCCGCCTTTGCCACCTGGTCCACCTGAAATTGTAGGCCCTCACAATCAAGCTGGAGTACTTGTCCAACCAGATGCACCTTTGACAGCACCAAATATGAGTGGGGCTTATCACTCCCCGGCATTTCCAGGACATGGGATGAAGGTCCCCAGAGAGAATCACTGTTCTCCAGGTTCATCATACCAGCAAGGTCCTGGTGAAATGCCACTCAATACCAATTATGAATCCCTTCAAACCCCAGATGAGTTTTATGGTAATTACTATTCACAGCATGCTGTACATAATTTTCAGACACCCAGTAACTGCAGTGGTAAGTTTACCTCTTGAAATAACTCATATTTAATTTAACATATTATGAGTCTTGTTTTTTCATTAAAAGTATAATAGCAGTGCATGTTTTAAGTAAAGCTAAGTAAAATTGGTTTAATTGAAACCTTAAAATATGTTTTAATTTTAGCCAAACTTTTAGAATGTAGAACTTGAAATAACTTTGAACAATGTTTTTAAATTATATAACAATATAAGAATCAAGGTGATTGTTAGTAAAGCTTCTATTTCTTACGTCTGTGGTGGAGTTTGTGCTCACACAGTATCTGTCTGCTCTCCTGTTTTGTCTGTAGATGGGATGTGGCATGGGGAATTTGGCCAGCAGCAGCCTCCCATGGTTCAAGACTCACCTAACCTTGGGACTGGTGGGTCTGACTGCAGCAGCAACATCACAGGCCATGGCTCCTTGTCTGCTCCAGGGCTCCTCCCTGCAGTGCAGAGAGCCCTTTTTGTCAGACTTACTCAAAGATATCAAGAAGATGAAGAACCAACCAGCACTCATCCTCATCGGGCACCAAGCAAGGAAGAAGGTATGTCAGGCATTATAACACATCTTAATTTATATAGATTAACACTTGAAAATCAGTTCCCATTTCTGATTTACCCTCTAGCCCCTATCTGCTTAGGATTGATTGTGACATTAATGCATTAATAATAAATTGCAAAAGGGTTCATTTGAAGTAGTGAATACATCTAAAACTAGAGGTCAAGTCCTGAGCGAGTAGACTTGTAAGCAAGTGAGCCCTTTTTTATTAAGGGAGAAAAGAAATAAGACAGGAAAAAAATACTTTCCAATTTGGAGATTTGACTTCTAGACCAACCCCCAACTTTTTCGTTATTAGATAATTTTTTATGGGCACAGTTAATATTTTGCTATGTTATTAACAAATACTTTTTAGTGAAAAAAAGGTTAGATGAAAATAGTAAGTATATTTTAGAATTTGGGGTATTGATAAGTATATAGCAATTAATTCAGTTAAGGATCAGAAAAATTTAAAGCACTTCTTTTTGTGAATTACATAATTGACATACTGATATGTTTGGGTACTCTTTTTTAGTTTGTATTTGGCCACTCTTAATCATAAATAACTATATAAGTTAAGAGTAGGTAGCTATAAGGTTATGAACATGATCTGTTATATTTTCAAAGGAGGTAAGCTAACTCTTCATTTATCAGACGAGATCGGGCGCATTCAGGGTGGTATGGCTGTAGACTGGCTAACTCTTCATTTATCTAAGGAAATGAAGAATTCTCATAAGTGCATATTTTTACTATTTAAATATATTACTTCAAGTACTAAAACCTAATTTAAAAAACACTTTAATGACGATCTTTCCAAAATTCTTGCGAACTTTATATTTTCATAAAGAAGAAAACTCAAAATGATATAAAATTTTACACTGTGATACATAGTTGTTGATGTTCAGTGAGAATTGTTTGCTGTGAATAGAAAGAAAAAAATAATCTTTAACAGCTAGGTTTATGTGTTTTCATTTTTATAAATTGTAATGCTTTCATTAATTGTATGTCTTTTTTGATTAAAAAAGCTGTTAACTGTCATTTCTGAGCTAATACCTCTTTTCCGTTGACCTATCTCTGCACTTCTACATCCTGTTACGATTCACTGTCATTCCAAAAATGATTTAAGACTGCTTTTAAAATAAATTGTTATGAAAATGCAAAGAAAGTAAGAATAAAAACAACAAATATTACCAGTAGAGTCACTATACAGAAATATTTAAAGTAACTGCATCCAGTTGAAGTGAATCACAGGTCCAGCTAAATGCTTCCTGGTGATCAAAGAGAAGAAAGGAGATGTAGTATCTAGAAGTACAGAGATCTGAGTAAAACTTTGCTCTTGTGATATGCTATATACTGTTTTAAACCACATTCCACCCTAAATACCAGTGCTTGTTTTAATAAAGCACAGTTCTGTTCAAACTAAGCCAGAGACCCACACTTTCATATGGTAGAAATGTAGTGGGCAGCAAAATAAGGTAAAAATGAAAATATCTAGGATATTTTACTGATGCAGGATGTTCGAAGATAGAGATGGGTTCTGACAAGAATGTGAAGAGTAGATACTATGTGGCCAATTTTGAGCCAACCTATGTATGTTTTAATGGCCAGGAAGGAGAACTGCCCTCCTATAGAAACATCCATTTGTGATCCCTCCTACTTAACTAGGGAGAGGACCTCTGATAATCAGGCTTCTTAAAAGTGTGCCCAGTGCATTAGGGCTAAATAGGCATTATGAGTAAGGCCCAATACGGTCTCAGAAAGTTAAAATACATAAATTTTAGGATGTTAGATTTATTTTGTTACTTTTCAATTTCAGTTTGAATAGCTAATATGTTCGCAAATGTTAAACATCTAAAGATAGAATAAAGCATAAATGAAATTTCACCCAGTCCCTCATTTGCTCAACTCCCATCACCATGGTTGTTAGTTAATTGTTTTCCCTTGTTTTAAGTCCAGAGCTGTGAAGCTTAAGGATTGTTTGAATTGATGAGACTCAAACAGTGTAGAGTACCTTTCCAAGAGTATCTTCCCTTCTCCCCAACCCTGCTGTACAAATGGCACACATTTTTTAGTTCCTTTGGCCAACTGGAATGAAAGATCCTGACTTTTCTCTGAATGGAAAGATTTTACATATATTCCGATATGTACTTCTTCCTTTACAGAGTTACTCAACAAATTGGTAATCACTTTACCACTTTTCATCTTGTTCCAGAATTGAAACATGGCATTCTTATCATGTATTTTCTTAAAGTTAGACTATAATGATTTCAGAAATATTATTTTTTATCTTAATTAAGGCAAAATATGAATACTTCAGTCTTTACAATAAATTTTTATATGCATTTAGATGATACGGTTAACTGGTATTCCAGTAGTGAAGAGGAAGAAGGAAGCAGTGTCAAGTCAATACTGAAAACGTTACAGAAACAAACAGAAACTTTAAGGAACCAGCAACAGCCTTCCACAGAACTTAGCACTCCTACTGACCCAAGACTTGCTAAGGAGAAAAGTAAAGGAAATCAAGTGGTTGACCCTAGACTTAGGGCCAACTCAAGGCAAGATGTTCGAAAACCGTCCGAGTCTGCCCCGCTGGATCTTAGACTTGCATGGGATCCCAGGAAATTAAGAGGGAATGGAAGTGGTCATGTAAGCTCTTCTGTTGGTGGAGCAAAGTTTGATTTACATCATACAAACACTGGTACTAATGTCAAACACAAAAGAGGGGATGATGATGATGAAGATACAGAAAGAGAACTGAGAGAAAAAGCCTTCCTCATACCTTTGGAACCTTTACCTGGTATAATGCTCCAGGATCCAAGGTCACAGTTGAGACAGTTCAGTCACATTAAAATGGACATTATCCTAACTAAACCCAACTTTGCAAAACACATTGTGTGGGCTCCTGAAGACTTACTTCCAGTACCTTTACCTAAACCTGATCCAGTATCTTCAATCAATTTACCTCTGCCCCCTCTAATAGCTGACCAGAGGCTCAGTAGGTTATGGAATACAAAAAGTGATCTTCATCAAAATATAGCATCTAATGATCCAAAATTAGCAATCAAAGCCAAAAGTAACACAACAAGCAGAGAAGGCTACCCAGAACAATTTGGAGACTCACATAGTTCAGGAAGTAAATTAGGAGATCCTAGGCTGCAAAAGAATTTCGATCCTAGGCTTCACAGACTGCCCAATGCGGAGTCTCATCAGGTGGCTGTGAAGGAATCACGTCCATCCAAGAGTGCCCCTCATTCAGCCAGATCAAACTCGGGTTCATCACAGTCCTCAGGGGCAGTAACTAGCAATGCTAGTTCTGGGGCTCTGCCTCCATACGCTCCTAAACTCTCATCTTCAGCAGGCCTTCCACTGGGAACTCCAAGTTCTGTCCTTAGTGCTATTAGTTTGTATGACCCTAGGGAGCAGGGTTCATCTACATCAGAGGTAGCAACAGCTGCTTTAGGAGAAAATTCAGAGAATGAGAAAAAAAGTGGTGGGTTAAAAAATAATGACAAAAACGAGCCTTCCCCTGGCGAAGCAGTCCTGCCACAAAAAAGCTCTCCAAATGTGGAAGGCACTGTCGATGGGCCAGCTGACACACAGGTGGATAGTCTCAGAAGTTCCAGTAAGGTTCAGTTCCCAGCAGTGCACAGTCTTCCTATTCAGGCCCTCACAGGTTTGATTAGACCCCAGTACAGCGATCCAAGGCAGTCAAGGCCACCTGGACAAGTGAGCCCAATTCCAGATAATGATCCCAATAGAGAAACAGATGATAAATCTCTAAAAGAGGTTTTTAAAACTTTTGATCCAACTGCTTCACCATTTTGTTAGCTGTTCTGTAATCAAGCAATTCTTTTCATTCTTGTGACTATTGCAGTCCTCTGCTGTTTTGTAACTGGTTTACCTCTATAGTTTATTTATTTTTAAATTATAAACACTTTTCAGCTGCTAGTATCAGAACCACATGAAGTTATATCCTCTAAAGCCTGTGGTATTTTATATAATATTTTTATAACTTTAAGAGACTGTAGTAATTGACATAGAAACTTATATATCATGTTAGTTTTAGTAAAAGTACTTTTATTGTAAATAACCCATCATGAATTCAGTGCTCTGCCTGAATATATGCTAGTTGTCTTTCATAATCAATGTTTAGATAAATGATTACCACTTTTATATGATTGTTTAGTTGCAAGCAATTGATGTACCTTACTTTTGAGAAACAGTATTTTGACTAAAACCATCTCCATTTGTCAGCCCAGAACTGATTAGTATGTAATGCCAACTGCTAACTAAAATACAAAATGAAGTAAAGAAAATATTTTACAATCAAAATTAGCAGAGCAGTTACTGTTTAAGGGCATCACTTTATTAGTATTGGTAATACTGTTTGTGTAAATGAAGCATTTGAATGTCATATCTTTTAAAAGTATTTTATTGTATACTGTATCATAGACGTTGGAAGGTATATAAATAGAAGAATGTTTTGCTAAAGGGAAAGATTCCCAAGTTCTCTAACATAACTTTTTAAATTTAATTTTTCATATCAAATAGTCATGAGTTATTGCTGTTACATTGTGATGTTTATGTATCTCAATGTTTTTGTCTTTAGCAGCATAATTTATATTACTTTTCCAAATAATGTAGCTGTAATAATTGTGCTCATCATGGTTTTGGCAATTTTTAACAAAATTTTAAAAGATATGGTGAGTCTGTAGTGATTATTACATTGATAATGTTTTAAATGTCTAGGTTCTATATTTTTTCTTAAACAGCAAGAAAACATATAGATTGCAGGTAGTCAACTATCTATGTCTTATCAATAAAGAACCTCTTTCAGTTCTAACCTGACTGGCATTCTGTAACAGAGGGGATTACCTGGCATTTTAAGTATTTAATGCCCTCATATTTTGGAAATATAAATTGATAAGAAGTTGTATTTTTATGAAAAACAACTTATATTCATTCTTTATTATAGTATGTAGATAATAGCAGCTCTGTTTGTTTTATACATACATGATTTATAACTGAAACTAAGTATTACACTGACACATATCTTAAACTGGAGTTTCCTGACTGTGTTTGCTGGTGTAAACTCCAGTAAGTAACTTGAAAAAGGAGTATTTCATGATAAAAGATAATGAAAATAGCTAGTAAAATCAGTTCTTAGATGAAAACAGCTACCTTTGAGAAGTGATTTTAAAAATATACAGCAAAATATTTGTGTGGGAACCTTAACACTCAGATAGCATATGGTTTGATAATAATGAAAATCCTTTCTATTCACTTCTCTGTCCAGTTTTTCTTGCTTCAATTCCATGGTAAAACGAGGAAACGCGGTCGCAGTTAAGTGAACAGAACTCTGCCCACCTACGAAGTTCATTGTATTCTCTGTGGAAGGACAGTTAGAGGGAATGTGAATTCTTACTGCCTAAAACATGGCTCTGGATAAATTTGTGGGTTGAAAAATGCAGTTTAAAGTCACCATAGAAAGTATTTTCTGATTTAGTGTCCAAATTAACTTTATTGTTAATTGAAAAGTCAATAAAATGGTTAAATCTGACAATGAATATATATATATATGTATGTCCCAAAGTACAATTTACTCTTTAATCAGTATCAAATCAGTACAATTTCTGAAGTTTAGTAAATGAATTTTTTTAGCAAATCCTTAACTCATTCATGTATTTTATAATTGTTAAGTAATGCAGTTTATATTTTAAATGTCATACGAAAGAGATAATTTGGCTTGTTAAAGATCAAATTAGGACCCAGAGAGCAAGCCTGTGGCCTCCCTGTTGAGATGCCTGTATCCTCTGTCAGAGTGCATGCTTTGATTCTCATATCTGGCTCCTACTTTAGTTTCTTGCTAGTGCATCCCTGGGAAGCAGCAGTGGTGGTTCAGCTGGCACCCACGTGGTAGACATGGGTTGTGTTCCTGGCTCCCATCTTGGCTCTGTCCCAGACCTGACCATTGCAAGGCGTTTGGTGTTTGGGGAGTGAATCAGTACATCGGGGAATCTTTTGCTCTCTCACTCCCTCTACTGTCTTCCCTTCTGCTCTCTGCTTCCCCTCTCAAATAAATAAAAATGTATGAAAACATGGGATTAAAATTCTTGATAGAAATTATTTTTACTACTAAAGGAGATGTTGAAAGATTAATTTAAATGTAAGGTTTAAAAGTCATTAATGCAAAGTGTGTAATGTTCATTAATTCATTAGTTTTGAGTCCTTATGGCATCAGCTGAGGCTATTTTACAAGAAAGTTCAGCATAGTTTCAAAGCTGACAGAATATTTTATGTGAAAATATTTTATTTATTTTTAAAATTATTTTTAGTACTGAGTTTTTTGCGATAACATTGACTCACAGGACATTTTGTCATATTTGATCAACATGGATTATTTAATATTCTCCTTCTTTTCTACTTTCTCACAAAAATTTAGTAAGTATCTATTTTCCTTTACTAATGAGCTGTTACTTAAGGTAATCTATATTTTCAGAATCCATGGAATGTACTTGACATTATCACACTGAAAAATAAATTATGTCCTTATTCTTAGGATACACATATTTTGAGATAATAGAAATAACTTTTAAAAATAACAGTCTGGGTAAGTTCATCAGCTGAGATGTTACTGAACTCATTATTATTATTTTAAATTTTTATTTATTTAAGAGGCAGAGAGACGGAGAGCTTCCATCCAGTGGTTTACTCCCCAAACTGAAGCTAGAAGCTGGGAACTCAAACCTAGGGTGGCAGGAACCCATTAACTTGAGCCACCATTGCTGCCTCCCAGGGTCTGCATTAAGAGGAAGCTGAACTCAGGAGCTAGAACTGGGAGTCCAACCCAGTTACTACAGTGTGAAATGCAGGTGTCTTAACCACCAGGCCAAACACCTGTTGCTGGGTGTTCTGGTTTGTGACAGAAGTTTTGTGCCTGTTTACTTCCATGTTCAGTAAGAAGGTATATATCAGTGTGTTGAACTGGTACACCAAAAGAGCCTAATAATTTATATTTAGCAACTTCTTTTCCATATCTTGCTGAGAACCTGATTTGCAACCCTAAAACAAGTCAAAGTTGGAGTGAATTCCACCCTGCCTCAGTAATAGCAAGCATATCTCTATAGACCCTCTGTGTTTCCCAGCTGAATGCTCCAAACCCCATAATTAAGCTGCAGTCAGAGCCCCCTAATTGTGAAATGCTGTATGCTTAGGTTTCTGTCTATTGTAATTGCCATGGGACTTTTACATAGTCGTGTTCCTTGCTAATCTTATTTAAGAATGGAGAAATAGTTTATTACTAGATAAATCGTATGAGCTTTCAGTAAGTTACATTGCTGAAGAGAGGGAGGGAGGAGGAGAGAGAACACCAGAAGTGCTGGAAGTTTAAAGAAAATGAAATCATGTTCTCTTCTTGTACTGATTGCTAGACAGTTTATTTCAATGTCTAGTTCATTTTCTGTGAAATGGAGATAATTTTAATTGACCACAGATTTGATGCAAGGAACGAATGAATGATTTTTGTAAAGTATTTGTAAATACAAAATTGCTTTATAACTTTCATGAATATAATAGTTAAACCTCCATTGGGGTGTATTAAGTTGTACAAATTCCAAAACAACATGATACGGTTACTGTGATATACCAATATTATTGTTTTAGATGATGTACACTGAAGACACAAAGATAGACTTGCCTGAGAAGTTGTTTCAGAGACTATTAACCCATCAAGTTAACAATTTCCTTAAGCATTGTTGTGCCACAAAGACACAGGACTTCCATACCTTAGAGCTGTATAAACTTGTAGTGTCTCCTTGGTATCTGACTTCTCTGCCCATTTTATACAGGTTGGGTTTTGATGAAGGGTAAAAATGTTGTGAGCGTCCATGTTGCATGATGTGTTTGCTTGACTCAGAAACGGGTTTATTTACTTCACCTCTCAGGCATGTGACATTGAGGTCTTCGGATTCCGCACTTGCTTGATAAAGGTATCATTTCCTTCGGTTCATAGCAGCTAGAAATTAGGAAGTCCCTAGGGGCCAGATGTGAGACCTGGGAGGGGCTGGTCGCACATCCCTGTGTACACTACCCAGAATCTTGGGCTACAGTTGACTTCCTGGGCGTTACCCTGCCACACTGAAGGCTGCACCTCAGTAGCTGCTCTGTGTTGAGGGCTCTGCCTCTGAGGGCCGTCTGTAGAAGAGTCCACTGATAGGGCCCCTGGAACCTTCAGTCCTTGGGTTTTTGTGAGTTTCTAAAACAAAGAGTTGTAGTTTTTTTTTTTTTTTTCCAGAAATGGTTTAGCAGTGCTTGAAAATATTATTGTATTCAAAACCCATAAAAAGGTATGATTATTATGTATCAAACAAAAATAAAATGAAACAAAAAATTAAGCCCAGTAGAAAAAAATATTAGCTATAGTTAGTTTAAATAAGACTTAGTTTAGAAAACCTAAGTTTTGATAAAATATAACCAAACAGGGTCTGAATGTTTAAAGCTGTTTTCCTTCCCAGTATGTTATGACTTGGTGTTTACGTGATGTTTTTTCCCCAGACAGCTTAATGTGGTCTGCAGAAGCTATTTTAATGGCTACCAGTTCCACTATTGCGGGAGTGTTGTGTTCGGGTATGTATGTTGTTTATCAGCAATATTTGCTAGTTGTAAGAAGACCCAAATTAACTTGCCTTTTCCTTGGAAAGAATGCAGACCTAAGAAAGGATGTCAAGCTAACATCAACATAATGCTTAGAATTTCTAATTTTTAAGTAGGAAGTTATTCTAAGCCACATTTTGTACTTTCAGAGACAAGACTCATCTGTGTCTACGTACTTTTAAGTTTCCCCTTAGCAGCGAACCCAGGCATAGAGCGTGTACTTTGCTAGCTGCTTCTTGACATCCAATCAGGAGTAGGTTTCACAGGTGCTGTCAACTAGAACAGAGATGGCAGAAGCATTCCCTGATCATATTAGAATGAACTTATCAATTATACTTCTTTTCAGTAGACATAGGGAACCCATTTTCTCTCTTGCTATCTGTTTTAAGATTACTTATTTGAGAGGCAGAGTGACAGAAATAAATAGAATGGGAGACACAGGTCTTCCATCTGCTGGTTCACTCCCCAAATAGCCACAACAGCCAGGGCTGAACCAAGCCAAATCCAGGAACCAGGAACCCCATCCAGGTCTCCTACATGGGCCATTTTCCACTCCTTTCTTAAGCACATTAGCAGGGAGCTGGATGGGAAGTGGAGTATCTGGGACTCAAACGAGCTCTGGTAGGGCATGGTGACATCAGAACTGGTATCTTAACCCTCTGTGCCACAAGACCAGTACCCCCACTTCGTCTCCTTTTCTCCCACTCCCATCCCCAAACAATATGAAGGCAAGGTTAGGACAACATACAACTGAGGAGGTCATATGTTTCTATAATAACTCACAATTCTTAAAAGTCCTCCAGACTTCAAACATAACTCCACTTACTCCATGGGGAAAATTTGAATAGATCAGTAATTTATTCCTATATATATGTGAAGGATTTTTTTCATAACCAGAAAGGTATATAACCAAAGTCATATATTTTTGGTTTTAATTATATTCCTCCCCAACTTTGTTCTTAAACTATCAACCAAAATTATGAAGATAGGTCTAATTTAAGGAATTATCGGTAGCATTTAAAATTCCTGATAGCCTGACACCACTAACAGCAAAAATTACCCTTTCAAGTGATGATGGGACTCTAATTTGGGGTCTTTGTCTCATCTTTAAACAGCTTTCATTACCCTTGGGAACAAAACAAGTATGTTACAGTTAGCAAAATCATGGCAGGCATAAAGAAAATTTGTTCC